ACATTATACTTAATTTCAGGCTCCTATTAAATATCGTTTAGAAGGTGGCCGTAGCTCTAATGAGGGACGTTTAGAGGTGTTTTACCGCGGTGAATGGGGTACTGTTTGTGATGATGATTTTGGCTTAAAAGAGGCTCAAGTTGTTTGTAATTCTTTTGGTCTATATGGCAAACCGGTAATTATTTTAAGGTTAATAAAAATTTCTTCTCTAAATATCTGCTTTTCTTAAAGGAAATCGCTAAAAATATATATGGCCCGGGCAGTGGACCCATTTGGTTGGATCAAGTATCTTGTTTGGGTAATGAAACCAAAATAGACGAATGTAATCACTGGTCTTGGGGTGAAAACAATTGTAATCATACCGAAGATGTGGGACTCAAATGCACTGCAGGTCCCAAACCCAATCCAGCAAAAGTCAATAAAGAACCCACAATTAACACTTATGGAAAAGATCTAGAATATGGTGTGGAATTGGAACAAACCGAACTCGATGATTTGGGTTTGTATCAAGGTCTTTGGCAACGTTCCAGCAAGGCGGTCCAGAGTCAAAAGAAATGTGGTCACTTTAAAACGAATTTGGTCGATGAATATGAACATCCTGAGGAAAGAGTGGTAAATGGTAGTGTTGCCAAAAGAGGACGTCATCCTTGGCAAGCTACTATAAGAACTAGGGGTCGTGGTGGCATATCAAGTCATTGGTGTGGTGCTGTTATTATATCGAAAAGATTAATTCTTACTGCTGCCCATTGTTTAGCGGGTTATCCTAAGGGTTCATATTTCGTGCGCATGGGTGATCATTATGCCAATATAGCTGAATCCTCAGAAATCGATTCAAATATAGAGAATTGGTATATTCATGAAAAATTCCGTGATCAGAAGCATATGAACAATGATATAGCTTTGATATTACTAAAGACTCCGGTACGTTTCAATGATTATGTTCAACCTATTTGCTTGCCCGAAAAGGGCGCCACTTTGGAACCAAATCGTTTGTGTACGATTTCAGGCTGGGGTTCCATAAAATCGGGCACTTCAAGTAAGTAACTTATATGCGATTTCTATACATAAACATCAAAATATAAATATTTTCTTTTATGCTCCAGCTCCCTCCAATATTTTACGTTCCGCTCAAGTACCCATTTTGGCCGATGAGGTTTGCAGCCAGAAAAATGTTTATGCCAATGCCATGACCGAAGGCATGTTTTGTGCTGGTTTCTTAGATGAAAGTGCCGATGCCTGTGATGGTGATTCGGGTGGACCTTTAGTTTGTTCCGATGAGGGTATGTTTGCTTAAGAAACTTTTGAAAAAACGTTACTTCAAATCTTTTTTAAATATTTTAGATGGTGAAACCTTGTATGGTATCATATCATGGGGTCAACATTGTGGTTATGTCAATCATCCTGGTGTTTATGTGCGTGTAGAGAAATATATTGATTGGATCTATGATAAAATTAATCTAATGATGCAGCAAGGCAAGCTTTAGAGTAATTAAATTTTGAACTCGAATTTTGTTGAATTTTCATTTGTAATTATTAAAACTCGAAATATTTTTAGATTAAGTTTAGTTTGTAGTAATTTGTAATACCAAAAATTAAAAACAATAGAAAAAATGTGTATTTAAAATAAAGCCTAAATCATAGATTATTGTTTAAACAAAACTCTGAGACAAATATCTAAAGGTTCGTATTCCATGTGAAGATTGAAAACATTTAAAAATTTATGGAAATTTAAATCGCTGAAGTAATTGCCATGAGCAGGAATACTACGTACAAGTATTAACATGAAGATACTCTGAACCCTCATTTTAAAGAATGCAAGAAAAATTGCCCTCGTATTATTTTGCATATTTTTTTTTTTTATTTTCAATTAAAATTGAGTCCACTCGATTCAAGTACAAACAAAACTACTCAACTATTTATTAAGAAGGCGTAAACCTCTTATGGTTTAAGTTTTTTTTAAATATCGTTTTTATTAATTAATTAATGTTAAAAGAATTGTTTGCATGAGAAAAAGAAAATTTAAACATGTACATAATTCTGATCGAGAGTGACTTTAAATGTACTCTATATAACGGAATTAATGAGAGTAGTCTATAGTCTTGTCTATAAAAGAGTTCATTATCTAATCTATATTAGGGTTCTATATATCGAAATTAAAACAATCAAGATTCGAACCTGTAGTTAAATCTAGAATCTATATAGTCTAGTCTATAGTCTAGTCTATAGTCTAGTCTAAAGTCTAGTCTATAGTCTAGTCTATAGTCTAGTCTATCGTCCAGTCTATAGTCTAGTCCATAGTCTAGTCCTATAGTCTATAGTCTAGTCTATAGTCTAGTCTATAGTCTAGTCTATAGTCTAGTCTATAGTCTAGTCTATCTATATCTCTAGTCTAGTCTATAGTCTAGTCTATAGTCTAGTCTATAGTCTAGTCTATAGTCTAGTCTATAGTCTAGTCTATAGTCTAGTCTATGTCTAGTCTATAGTCTAGTCTATAGTCTAGTCATAGTCTAGTCTATGTCTAGTCCAAGTCTAGTCTTATAGTCTAGTCATGTCCTAGTCTATAGTCTAGTCCATAGTCTAGGTCTATTAGTCTATAGTCTAGTCTATAGTTCTAGTCTATAGTCTAGTCTATAGTTCTAGTCTATAGTCTAGTCTATAGTTTTTCTAGTCTATAGTCTAGTCTATAGTCTAGTCTATAGTCTAGTCTATTAGTCTCGTCTATAGTCTATCTCTGTCTATAGTCTAGTCTAGTTCTAGTCTATAGTCTAGTCTATCGTCTAGTCTATAGTCTAGTCTATAGTCTAGTCTATAGGGTCTCAGTCTCTTAGTCTCGTCTATCGTCTAGTCTATAGGTCTAGGTCTATAGTCTAGTCTATAGTCTAGTCTATAGTCTAGTCTATAGTCTAGATCTATAGTCTAGTCTATAGTCTAGTCTATAGTTCCTAGTCTATAGTCTAGTCTATAGTCTAGTCTATAGTCTAGTCTATAGTCTAGTCTATAGTCTAGTCTATAGTCTAGTCTATAGTCTAGTCTATAGTCTAGTCTATAGTCTAGTCTATAGTCTAGTCTATAGTCTAGTCTATAGTCTAGTCTATAGTCTAGTCTATAGTCTAGTCTATAGTCTAGTCTATAGTCTAGTCTATAGTCTAGTCTATAGTCTAGTCTATAGTCTAGTCTATAGTCTAGTCTATAGTCTAGTCTATAGTCTAGTCTATAGTCTAGTCTATAGTCTAGTCTATAGTCTAGTCTATAGTCTAGTCTAATAGTCTAGTCTATAGTCTAGTCTATAGTCTAGTCTATAGTCTAGTCTATCTCTAGTCTATAGTCTAGTCTATAGTCTATTCTATAGTCTAGTCTAGTCTATCTATAGTCTAGTCTATAGTCTAGTCTATAGTCTAGTCTATAGTCTAGTCTATAGTCTAGTCTATAGTCTAGTCTATAGTCTAGTCTATAGTCTAGTAGTCTAGTCTATAGTCTAGTCTATAGTCTAGTCTATAGTCTAGTCTATAGTCTAGTCTATAGTCTAGTCTATAGTCTAGTCTATAGTCTAGTCTATAGTCTAGTCTATAGTCTAGTCTATAGTCTAGTCTATAGTCTAGTCTATAGTCTAGTCTATAGTCTAGTCTATAGTCTAGTCTATAGTCTAGTCTATAGTCTAGTCTATAGTCTAGTCTATAGTCTAGTCTATAGTCTAGTCTATAGTCTAGTCTATAGTCTAGTCTATAGTCTAGTCTATAGTCTAGTCTATAGTCTAGTCTATAGTCTAGTCTATAGTCTAGTCTATAGTCTAGTCTATAGTCTAGTCTATAGTCTAGTCTATAGTCTAGTCTATAGTCTAGTCTATAGTCTAGTCTATAGTCTAGTCTATAGTCTAGTCTAGTCTATAGTCTAGTCTATAGTCTAGTCTATAGTCTAGTCTATAGTCTAGTCTATAGTCTAGTCTATAGTCTAGTCTATAGTCTAGTCTATAGTCTAGTCTATAGTCTAGTCTATAGCATAGTCTAGTCTAGTCTAGTCTATAGTCTAGTCTATAGTCTAGTCTATAGTCTAGTCTATAGTCTAGTCTATAGTCTAGTCTATAGTCTAGTCTATAGTCTATGCTATAGTGTAGTCTGTAGTCTAGTCTATAGTCGAGGGTATAGTCTAGTCTGTGGTCTAGTTTATAGCCTAGTCTATAGTCTAGTCTATAGTCTGGTCTATAGTCTAGTCTATAGTCTAGTCTATAGTCTGGTCTATAGTCTAGTCTATAGTCGAGTCTATAGTTTAGTTTATAGTCTAGTCTAGAGTGTTGCCTATAGTCTACTCTAGAGTGTAGCCTATAGTCTAGTCTGTAGTGTAGCCTATAGTCTAGTTTGTAGTGTAGTCTATATTCTAGTCTAATCTATAGTATAATCTGTAGTCTAGTCTTTAGTTTAGCCTATAATCTAGTATATAATCTAATCAATAGGCTAATATATAGTATAGTCTATATTCTAGTCTACATTCTAGTTTATAGTTTAGTATATAGCTAAGACTATACTCTTGCATATAGTAAATCTTGTCTGGTCTGATCTATAGTCCAAACTGCCCTATATTCTGGCCTATATAGACTATTCTATAGCCTATAATATGTTAATCAAGGCTTTAGCTAGAGTCTATATAATGATTCAGATTCATATACCTAGAATAGGGTACTAATAATATCTTGGTTAATTCTTTTCTGCTATGTTACTCATTTTGAAAATGAAATAAGAGCAAAATTTAAAAACTTATTTGAGTTCAACATAATTAAAGATTTCGTGTACACGATCAATAAAAATACGATGATAAAACACACTCACTACAATGAGAGTATGGATATGACAGTCGTACTTAAATTGTATACATTGATGTTGAGCATATAACGGTAAACGTGCCACAAGATCTATTTACGCGTAACTATAAAGAACTCAAACCTACAGCAATCATCATCGCACAACTACTGTGACAATAACCCCCACAATTTGAGTTTAACTAATAATGAAACGACATCAAAAGTAATGGAAGAAAAAAACCGTTTAAGTTCAATTATAACTTTTTGTTATTGTCGCATGTAGTTGATTTTTCCTTGTGTATCCACCACGAACAATTCCAAACAGTAAAATAAAATTCATCTTTTAGATGATTGTATGAAAAAGTGCTCGAATTAAAAAAAATAAAACTTTGAGTCAATTAATTCCTTCTTACTTTTTCTACTGGGTTCAAAGCGTTTATTATCTCGTTGTAGTTCATACAGATCACACGATCGCGAAACGAAAGAAAATTAAAAACAAAAAAAGTAAAACAAATCGTAATAAAATTACAATTTCTTTGGAATCTTGGTGCAAATTTGATAAGAATTCAATAGAAACAAACGAATACAATGTTAAACAAACTTACCGCTGTTATATTAATATTATTTGCATATCATGCAAACGCTGATTCTATATACGAAACCTATGTTCCGTCTCGAAACGGTGGTGATTCAACTGAAACCAGACAACATCATCCTCCATCAATGTTGTGTTTGAATATTAAACCTCAACATTCTGTGGATATCAAACAAGTGCGTAAATGCTGAATGGAAAACAAATAACATGAGTTGAAATTGTGTTAAAATAAATTTCAAAAATATTTAAAATATTCAAATAAAATTTAAGATTTAATTAACAAAGCTATTTATTAAATATGTCATCAATTAGAAATATATGCAGGTGTTAGACATTTTTTTAGAATTAATCAGAAAAACAAAAGTACGTGATCGGTTTATTGTAAAAATTGTAAATCTAAAAGTGTGTACTGAAATAAAGTTCATTGTTTGTGAAAATGCAAAAACATACGAAACAGATAAGTCTAACTCGAGAACTGTTTTAAGTCTATAGTTTAGTCCATAGAGTATATCCTAGTATGTAGATTGTATGCTTTATATCGTTGCCATGGTCTATGGTCTATTTTACGGTCTAAGCTATACTTTAGACTAAGCTATAGTCCAATCTATACACCATACTGTAGTCTAGTCTATAGTCTGGTGTATAGACTAGTCTATAGTGTAGTCTACAGTCTAGTCTATAGTCTAGTCTATAGTCTAGTCTATAGTCTAGTCTATAGTCTAGTCTATAGTCTAGTCTATAGTCTAGTCTATAGTCTAGTCTATAGTCTAGTCTATAGTCTAGTCTATAGTCTAGTCTATAGTCTAGTCTATAGTCTAGTCTATAGTCTAGTCTATAGTCTAGTCTATAGTCTAGTCTATAGTCTAGTCTATAGTCTAGTCTATAGTCTAGTCTATAGTCTAGTCTATAGTCTAGTCTATAGTCTAGTCTATAGTCTAGTCTATAGTCTAGTCTATAGTCTAGTCTATAGTCTAGTATAGTCTAGTCTATAGTCTAGTCTATAGTCTAGTCTATAGTCTAGTCTATAGTCTAGTCTATAGTCTAGTCTATAGTCTAGTCTATAGTCTAGTCTATAGTCTAGTCTATAGTCTAGTCTATAGTCTAGTCTATAGTCTAGTCTATAGTCTAGTCTATAGTCTAGTCTATAGTCTAGTCTATAGTCTAGTATAGTCTAGTCTATAGTCTAGTATATAGTCTAGTCTATAGTCTAGTCTATAGTCTAGTCTATAGTCTAGTCATAGTCTAGTCTATAGTCTAGTCTATAGTCTAGTCTATAGTCTAGTCTATAGTCTAGTCTATAGTCTAGTCTATAGTCTAGTCTATAGTCTAGTCTATAGTCTAGTCTATAGTCTAGTCTATAGTCTAGTCTATAGTCTAGTCTATAGTCTAGTCTATAGTCTAGTCTATAGTCTAGTCTATAGTCTAGTCTATAGTCTAGTCTATAGTCTAGTCTATAGTAGTCTAGTCTAGTAGTCTAGTCTATAGTCTAGTCTATAGTCTAGTCTATAGTCTAGTTAGTCTAGTCTATAGTCTAGTCTATAGTCTAGTCTATAGTCTAGTCTATAGTCTAGTCTATAGTCTAGTCTATAGTCTAGTCTATAGTCTAGTCTATAGTCTAGTCTATAGTCTAGTCTATAGTCTAGTCTATAGTCTAGTCTATAGTCTAGTCTATAGTCTAGTCTATAGTCTAGTCTATAGTCTAGTCTATAGTCTAGTCTATAGTCTAGTCTATAGTCTAGTCTATAGTCTAGTCTATAGTCTAGTCTATAGTCTAGTCTATAGTCTAGTCTATAGTCTAGTCTATAGTCTAGTCTATAGTCTAGTCTATAGTCTAGTCTATAGTCTAGTCTATAGTCTAGTCTATAGTCTAGTCTATAGTCTAGTCTATAGTCTAGTCTATAGTCTAGTCTATAGTCTAGTCTATAGTCTAGTCTATAGTCTAGTCTATAGTCTAGTCTATAGTCTAGTCTATAGTCTAGTCTATAGTCTAGTCTATAGTCTAGTCTATAGTCTAGTCTATAGTCTAGTCTATAGTCTAGTCTATAGTCTAGTCTAGTCTAGTCTATAGTCTATAGTCTAGTCTATAGTCTAGTCTATTGTCTAGTCTATAGTCTAGTCTATAGTCTAGTCTATAGTCTAGTCTATAGTCTAGTCTATAGTCTAGTCTATAGTCTAGTCTATAGTCTAGTCTATAGTCTAGTCTATAGTCTAGTCTATAGTCTAGTCTATAGTCTAGTCTATAGTCTAGTCTATAGTCTAGTCTATAGTCTAGTCTATAGTCTAGTCTATAGTCTAGTCTATAGTCTAGTCTATAGTCTAGTCTATAGTCTAGTCAATAGTTTAGTCTATAGTCTAGTCTAGTCTAGTCTAGTCTAGTCTATAGTCTAGTCTATAGTCTAGTCTAGTCTAGTCTAGTCTAGTCTAGTCTAGTCTAGTCTAGTCTAGTCTAGTCTATAGTCTAGTCTATAGTCTATAGTCTAGTCTAGTCTATAGTCTATAGTCTATAGTCTATAGTCTAGTATAGTATAGTCTAGTCTAGTCTAGTCTAGTCTAGTCTATAGTCTAGTCTAGTCTATAGTCTATAGTCTAGTCTAGTCTAGTCTAGTCTAGTCTAGTCTAGTCTAGTCTAGTCTATAGTCTAGTCTATAGTCTAGTCTATAGTCTAGTCTAGTCTAGTCTAGTCTAGTCTATAGTCTAGACTATAGTCTAGTCAATAGTCTAGTCTATAGTTTAGTCTATAGTCTAGTCTATAGTCTAGTCTATAGTCTAGTCTATAGTCTGGTCTATAGTCTAGCTTACATTCTAGTCTAGTATCTAGATGATGTCGACTATATTCTAAACTGTAGACTGACCAATAGTCTAGGTTCAGACCGAGACGAATACCACGTTGAGATGAATCATACGATGTTCGTAATGCAATGTTCAGAGGATTTTGTAAAAACATCTAATATATTTTAACAGCTTCGAGTTTAATTTAATAGCTTTTCTTTTAAAAGCTAATTCTAAAACTAATAATTCAATTTAAATTAATATTTATTGTTTAACATAAAGTTCATCATAACAACTACACTACGTATGTTAGACATTTTCCCTCACCTTCTGAACTTTCTATTTCGAATAATAACAATAACAATTTTCGAGTTAAAACTTCAACCCACATAAAGTGTGTTACAAAAGAATGTGACACAAACAAGGGAAACCATAAATATATTGACTCCAAATGACCTTTTTTTACATGCACTCCTCTCTCGTCACAGACTCACAGCCTTCGATGTGAATTTGAATGTGATGATATGGAGATGTGATACTACTGCTACTCGTCTGCATATTCATCCAGAGTAAACAATGCTTCCTCCAAATCTAAATTGATTAATTAAATTATACAATTATCAAATGCAATGCTGTGTTATCTGTGTTTTTAAACTAATTTTTCAACCATAAACAAATATGTACATATAAGCAGTATGTGAAAAAAAATTAAAGTGTAAAGTTAAGGCGATCTGCAAAATGCTTTGTAGGGTCGTGAATGAATCACTTGAATGTTGGAAACTGATGATATTTCAATAATTAGAAACACTTTCATATCAAATTATTACTCACTGAACAAGAACTGAAATAGAACTGAACTAGAACTGAACTAGAACTGAACTAGAACTGAACTGAACTAGAACTGAACTAGAACTGAACTAGAACTGAACTAGAACTGAACTAGAACTGAACTAGAACTGAACTAGAACTGAACTAGAACTGAACTGAACAGTACTAGAACTGAACTAGAACTGAACTAGAACTGAACTAGAACTGAACTAGAACTGAACTAGAACTGAACTAGAACTGAACTAGAACTGAACTAGAACTGAACTAGAACTGAACTAGAACTGAACTAGAACTGAACTAGAACTGAACTAGAACTGAACTAGAACTGAACTAGAACTGAACTAGAACTGAACTAGAACTGAACTAGAACTGAACTAGAACTGAACTAGAACTGAACTAGAACTGAACTAGAACTGAACTAGAACTGAACTAGAACTGAACTAGAACTGAACTAGAACTGAACTAGAACTGAACTAGAACTGAACTAGAACTGAACTAGAACTGAACTAGAACTGAACTAGAACTGAACTAGAACTGAACTAGAACTGAACTAGAACTGAACTAGAACTGAACTAGAACTGAACTAGAACTGAACTAGAACTGAACTAGAACTGAACTGAAACTGAACTGAACTAGAACTGAACTAGAACGAACTAGAACTGAACTAGAACTGAACTGAACTGAACTGAATCAAGTTCAAGCTTGAAACTTTTTGAATTCTCATCTAAGATCTGAGGGTCCATATAGGGTAAAAATGAGGCTTTCGTCAAAAAATTGCTTGGTTTTAATGTCTACTGACCCTTACCCTATAAGTAATAAATAATTGAGATATAAATTTCATTTTTAATTAGAGAGGTTGTAACCAAAATTAAAGGTCAATTACTACACATGTCCAAAAATATTAATATATAAAATTTTTAAAAAAACTACAGGTTCAATAAATTAATTTTACATACTTGTTTTTTACATTTTTCCCTCAGATAACTGGTAACTGGTATGGTAATGAAATCATAATGCATACACAAGATATACCAGGCGTATATCGTTACGACAGTTGTGTGATGATAAATTTAAATGATGTCACAGATCAAGTGAGTAGTAATAGTAGTACGTACAGTCAATCTGTCAAGCCACTCATAAACTAAATTATTAATTTAACTCTACTACATAATTTTAATAAAAAAACAAAACAAATAAAAAAATCTAAAAACTGTTTAGAAAAAAAAATCAGTATATTTTTTCTATTTCAAATACACAGATGCGTGATTATTATCAGCCTACTAGTTACAGAAGAGTAGACACAATGGCAACAGCATCAACGTCATCGAATGGCCAGCAATATGATGTAACTGCAAACTCCAGACACTCACATTTAAGTACCAGATATTTACGTTTGATTTGGAGCGAAAAAGATGACAATATTGAGTATAATTTCAATTATACCATGAATCATCCGGGTCTCTGGACAAATGTTGGCGAACAACGCGGCTCAATGGTGGCTCTTAATAAATACAGTCAATTTACCGGCACCGTACAGGTGGTCAAAGCTGTCAGTGATCATTTAGTATTGACATTCTGTTCGAGTGATTTACATCATAGCATTTATACGATTGTCTTGAGTCGTGAACCACAGGGACTGAGTCAAGATGTAAGTAAAGAGCAAAAAGAATATTGTGGTCCAAATTAGGTCAATTAATTGATTGGTTAATTGATGAATTTATAGCATTTTGTTGTAAATGAGTTATGTGCTAAATTTGCTAAAATGTTTAAAGAATTTACAATGTGAAAGATGTTATTTAATTGACTTCAAGGTGTTTGTTTTTAGACGAAATATTAGTTGAAGAAGTGGATATATGATTTTGAATAGAAATTCTTATATTATACTTTGACTATTGCATATTTTATTGGATTTTGGGAATTCGTTCCCTCTTCGTCTCGAGAAATAGAGAAAATTGTTCTTCCTAGGAGCAATAAAATTTTGTGGATTTAGGTTTTATGTCTATTGATTCGAGGGATGCTTATTTTTAGTTCTTAGACCCGTCCTAAACTTCACAGTATCGGTCCCTTATATTCAGATCAGTATGCCAATACCTGGACTAGGTAGGGGTCTCTCTTTCATATGAAACATAGCCGAATTTTGGAGTTGATAGTTGAAACTGCTACAAGGATCAGTCAGACATTTCTAATAGAACAGACAACTTGCACTTGGATTCCAAGGTACTACTTCGAAACTAACCTTACTTAGTTTCCTTCTCTTAAGGTGCATAACCATATTCCACATCACCTCTTCATTTTTATAAAATGCGTACAAATCCAAATCCAAGTTCTCTTAAGGAGATTCCTAGTTAAAGAAGTAGTTGTGACTACGACTCTCCCGTGGGGTATTATATTTGATTGCAATTACTCATATCATGATCGAAAGATATTGATTTGTGATAAATTATATAACTTTCACTTGGTATTAAAAGCACAAACCTTCAAGCAGAAGATGCCTCTAAATGGACCAGGTCAAAAAGTGTTTGGTCGTCAAACGTGATCTACAAAATTCAGCTATTTCTATCAGAACCAGACAGTTTACGCTTCGATTAAAAGTAATGGACAGATAGGATCTGATATGACTACAACTTTTCTTGGATTAGATACTTTCTATTTGGATTACAACTAAGACAATCTCTTTGGTATTAAATGTTTAATACTTCAAGTTGAAGATGACAATGGAAGCCTCCAAGCGGACTTACCCGGTCATTAACTGTTTGGTAGTCAAACGTGAACTATTTCTAACAAAACCAGACTGATTACGCCTGGATTATAAGTAATGGATATAGATTGGATTTCAGGAAATTTGGTATGCAGCTCTGCTACCGGGATTGTATTTATAGATCAGATACTTTCTATTCGGATGATAACTTAGGTTAGGTATCGAGGGCAGCTGTTACAGAAGCAGTCGGTCCCCTAGTGGTCGCAGGAGTGTGTTTTGATGTCAGTCTCTGCTTCCAGAACTTAACCAACCGGTTTCATTTCAGACCTATCCCAAAAAGCTCCTCCATGCCTGACAAGAAGGGAGCACCAAAGTGATGTTCCCTACTTTCAGTGAACGCAGTGCAATAGTAATTTTGATATGCTCTCTGGTGTTAATGGATTGAATCCTTACGATACCGGTAAGGAAGACTTGATAAGGTGACAGCATCTAAGCCGCTATATGCAAAACCTACCGACAGTTTTTCCATATATACATATATTAGAAAAATAGTACAAGATTTAGTAGACTATTAGGACTATATATACTATTTTCGTTCAGATAAAGACTGATCAACGCCAGAACACGACTATACCCGTGCCTTATTGATCACAAACTCGTACAGTTTTGATGTACTATCATCTTTACCTAAAGAGGTCTCATCAATACCGAAGAGAGATGATGCTAAGATCTAGTCTGCAATTTCCACGCCTGTAACATCAGCAATAGGTAGAAATGGCTCAGAAATCTGAATAGATAAGACCAGCAATAACTCTGATATTTATGATTGAACCTATACGATGCCGACAATAAGGCAAAAGGAGGTTAACTACCCTACTAAAGGAGAGAATACCACTAAACATAAAAATCTATGAAGCAATATTGCCGAGGAGATCAGTCCAATACAGACGAAGATTGATCAATTGCAAAACAGGAATGTGAAAACGACTATAACCGTTATTTAAACTTTCTATCACTAATTTATTTACTGTTGATGTACAAATGAGAAATGTCGAAAATATTAAGGGATTTTCGAAAATCGTGGACCAATGACTACTAATCGACCAACTACAAATGTAAAGTAGGAGGTAGGGTTTGAAATGAATCAAACTGATCGTAAAATGACTACGGAAAGGGTTTTTTCTACCATTTAACAATGTTTATAGTTTAAGTTTTCGACCGAAAATTCGAGTTTTTATCAAAATCACAAGTGATTTTCCTTTAAACGTGTTTTATCGAACTTAGAGCCGATTTTAACGAAAAAGTTGCATGATCAGGAAGTGAGATCGTTTTCGATATAAACATGATTTTATAAAGTTAGATTTAAATTTTTCCACCAAAAAATCAGTTTTTGACGTAAAATGCAGGTGATGACAGATCGAGGCTCTTTTCCCTTTTAAAGGTGTTTTGAAGAAGTTAGAGCCGATTTTAAGTGTTCGACACAAAAGTCT